AAGCTAAGGTGCATGCATGCCACCTTTGTCAACACTCGCGCCCTGAAATGCCCCAAGCTCCTGTACATAGATGGGAGGAAACACAGTCTCCATGGTCTAGGGTGCACATTGACTACGCTGGGCCTTTTCAGGGTCAATTCTTCTTGGTCCTAGTTGATAGCCATTCAAAATGGCTTGAGGTTGTACCCGTCTCTTCCACCATCACTGCAAAGACTATTCAAGTACTGAGGGGGATTTTTGCTGCACACGGGCTTCCAGACGTCCTCGTGTCTAACAACGGCCCTCAATTCACTTCTTCCGAATTCCAAGCTTTCTTACAGGCCAACATGATTCGTCATACCACCTCTGCGCCTTTCCACCCGTCCACCAACGGTATGGCTGAACGCATGGTTCGCATCACCAAGGACGCCTTGAAGAAAATTACCTATGGAGACTGGCATCACAGGTTGGCTGACTTCCTCCTTTCTTATCGCACTACACCGTCCACTTCTACCGGGAGGAGCCCAGCTGAACTTCGTTGGGGGCGCAAACTGACCACCAAGCTTGACCGGTTGCATCCGGACAGACTTCCTTCCACACTCACACACCCCAGGGCACCTAGACAACTGCTTGTGGGTGCCCCGGTTTGGACTCGTAACTATGGGCCTGGCCATTCATGGGTCCCTGCCACTGTATCCAGAGTCACAGGTCCTCTGTCTTACGAGGTGTCTCTGGACAACGGTCATGTCCTGCGTCGACACATCGACCAACTCCGCACTAGACGGGACCTTCCCACTGAGACTCCTGGGTCTTTTCCAGGGGGGAGGGGGACCCTTTAGGGCAAAGGGAAGAGTACGGGCTGCTGCCCATCATTAACGAGGAGGCTACAGACAGCCCATTCCAAAGTTCCACGAGTGCTCCAAACAGGAATTCACGGAGCCCAACTAGAACTCAGGCACCAGTGCCTACTCCAGCCAGGGAGTCACCCCGGGGGCATAATCACTACTCACCCGCATCACTCAGTACTCCAGTCAGGGAGGATATCTGGGAGCGTCCAAAGAAATCACACCCTGCAAGAGAGCTGGCACACATTCCCTCTAGTTGGCCCGACACTACCCCTGTCCCTAGAAGGGGGCAAGCATACAGGGAGGTGGTCGAGGAACCAAATCCCGACTACAACACCTCTGACTTCACTCAGAGGACAACTGAGTTTTGGGACAGCACTGAAAACCCCACAAGCCCGGGGACAGAATGGGAACAAGGGGAAAGACAACCTCCTGACGGGTCTTGGATGGACCTGGAAGGTTCTACAGAATCGCCCAACAGTGACAGTCACTTAAGAGGGCCAGAGAGCCTGCAGCTAGGCAGGACAACCAGGTCAAACAGAGAAAGAAGCCCTGGCCTGATGAGCCCAGTGGGCAAGCAAGCAGGCCAGGCATCGGAGCACAGTCCTTGGGAATCACCAGGGTGTAACAGGGGGGACTGGTATGCATCACCCCTCAGTCAAGGGGTACTTGGCAGGTACCCAGAAGTCAGGAGGTCACAGAGAGCCAGAAGATCTCCTAAGTATTTAGAAGATTTTGTAACTCTACTGGCAAAACAGAGTTAACAGAGAACATTCCTGTACACATAGGAAAATAGAACACTGGGAATGATAGAAGCAGAGGAAATAACTGACACTAGGTAGTATGGGCACCACGCTCGCATTAGGTTGTATGTTATTATTGTATGATCATAGTCTTAGCCGGGGGGGAAGGGGTGTTATGTCCTGAGCCTGTGGAAGCAGGCTCGGGGCATTGCAACGGTCCTGGGCAGGTGCAAGCTGCCCGGGACCAGACTGGCTGTCGCCAGCACGTGCGCGCATGTGCGGGTGCTGGCATGCCAAATGTTGCAGATTGGCCCGGGAATGGCCTATAAAAGAGGCCGGGAGATTTGGGAGTTGTCGGTGTCTTGTAACCAGTATGCTGAACAGAAATAAAGAAGTTCCTGAGAACTACAACTGCTTCTCGTGTCATTGCCATTTCACGAAGGACGCAACAATTACAACTTTCTATTCTCTCCATAATGTCCTTAGCTTAACTTGCTTCTCAGAGAATGCAAGAGTCAAGTTTTAAGCATTTTAGGTTTCATGTGGTCTTCTGAGCACATAATAAATAATAGTGAAATCATCTAGGAGGAAGTTGGCTTCAACAAAAATCAAGCTCTTTGTGTGGCTGTTATTACAACATGGTTCTGCTGCTCCTATTTTGGTAGGATACAGAAGGAAATTTCAATAGGTGTAATTTTTCTGAAATCTGTATTATAAATCTGCTCTTAACAATAACATTTGCCTTGAAGCCGTGAGGGTCTGGATGGGGGTTAACAGACTCAGGCTCAATCCTGACAAGACCAAGTGGCTTTGGATGTTGCCTGCCAAGGATCATGTCGACTGTCCAGTGTTGACTCTACTGGGGGAAATAATACCCCCTTTGGAGCGGGTTCGCAGCTTGGGTGTCCTCCTTGATCCACAGCTGAATTTGGAACATCATTTGACGGCTGTGGCTGGGAGGACCTTTGCACAAGTTCGTCTGTTGCACCAGTTGCGACCCTACCTGGACCGGGAGGCTCTCCTTACAGTCACTCATGCCCTTGTCACCTCACGTCTGGACTACTACATGGGGCTACCCTTGAAAAGTATTTGGAGACTACAGTTGGTCCAGAATGCAGCCGCGTGAGTGATAGTGGGTGCTCCTCGATACACCCACGTTACACCTATCCTCCGTGAGCTGCACTGGTTGCCTATTGGTCTCCGGGTCCAATTCAAGGTGTTGGTTATTACCTTTAAAGCTCTATATGGCTCAGGGCCAGGCTATTTGCGAGACCACTACTACCTCATAGTTCCCTTCGTCCGGTTAGATCCCACAGGCTGGGCCTCCTTTAGGTCCCGTCGGCCAAGCAGTGCCATTTGGCGGGGCCGCGGAGGAGGGCTTTCTCTGTGATGGCGCCCACGTCTTGGAATCAGCTCCCCCCGGAGATTAGGACCACTCCCAACCTGTTGGTTTTCCGTAAGCTGCTTAAGACCTGGCTTTTCCGGCAGGCCTGGGGTTTATAAAATCTGACCCCTGGATGACTGTTATTGTACTGTTTGTTTTGTCATGTTTTATGATGTTTTTATTGTTAGCTGCCCAGAGTCCTGCGGGAGTAGGGCGGTTTATAAATTTTAAAAATAAAAAAAAATAAAAATAAAACATGAACATATTTACATTAGGTTTTTTTAATTGGCCAAAATGTCTCAAAGTGTGTCAGAGATCTGGGAACACTGAGAAGTTTTGACATCCTCAGTGTTCCCTGTTTTCCATCTTCAGTCCTATCTCTTTGACTCTTTTTGATCTTGCAGTTTCTGGTTCTGGAAACTGGTTCTGGAGAATACCAAGGGGAGAGAGAGTGGAGGAAAGGATGGCAAAAAGGAGAAAGTGGCAAAAAAAGGAGTAGAACTTTAATTGCATGTTTACCACTGCCATCTTGACTCTTTTTTAAACCCTCTTCCCTAGTAGTATCCTTAGCTGGATCCTGACTTCAGAAAAGAAAAACTGAGGATCCTTTTGCTCTAGAGTCAGCATACGATTTAGTGTGGGCCTACAAATCAGGTCTACCATTCTAGCACTAAATCAAACGATCAGTAAACAAGAAGATAACTAGTAAAAAATGCACATATATCAATTAGTAGAGTAGGGATAACCATGACCCATTTAGAAAGGACTATTGCAATTGAACATCCATTTGGCACTAGATGAAGTGGCACAGTTATCGAAGGGTCACACATATGAAAAACAGCTGAGCTGTCAGCTTCACATTTCTGGCAATACTTGCAGGCATCCTGGTAGTCATTCTATTTAGATGTATTAGGAATTAACTATAATACAGACTGACTTCTGCTTAAACATGCTTTAGCTCACTTGCCTGAGAAGGCCTTTTGAAATCATTCATGTCTGTATATTTAAAACTTTTAAGGGACCCTGTCTTGATAAGGAAAGGATGGGAGACTGCTCACATGTGCCCCCAACAGCTTCTCCTCATATAAATACACAGAACAGTGGTTTTCTGTGGGTTACAGTGTCAGAAGATGACAGGATTCACCACCTTGCTCACAACCACGGAGGAACCTTTTAAAGGACACTAAGTTCACCAACCTCACTTTCTATTCACTTTCAGAAATTGCTAACTAACTGCAGTACTTCTAAGCTATTAGACATCTTTGGAACAAGTTTCAAAATGCTAGATGAGTCATCCTGAATGAATGAAAAAATTAATCGTGACCTTAAAAATTTAAAGAATCTGAAATAGCAAAAAGCCAAATATGATCTTAGAAAATTATAAATGGACTATGAGTCTAGCTGAATTTGGAACACTGGAACTTTTACAATAAGATTTTGGAATTACGTATAAAGAACAAACAGCTTCTTGTGGGAAATAGATCTGTTTTGTTTTTTGGAAAAATATAGCAGAAATAAATAATTTCATGATTTAAAAAATGGACACTAGAGGGAAGTAAATATTTAGGTAATGAGGGAAAAATGGAAGCCTATAAAATGCAAAATGTATAACATTGAAAATACTGAAGAAAATTTCAAGATTGAAGTGAGAAATTAGCATCCACCATATCAAAATGTCAGTATGGATAGATTATGTCCAAAAGATATTACAAACATAGAACAATTTGTTTTGACCAGATAGTTACTAAAGGCTAAGAGAATGTCTTAGAAAAGGATTCTTAATTGGATCTACAAAATAAACTGGCTAATTACTTTTTCCTTTTAAAATTTAAATGCAGTGGTAGGATTCAAATATGTGAATAACTGGTTCTCTGTGTGGATGCCGCTTCCAGAAGTCCATTCTCGGCCTAGACAACAAAACATTAGCTACCGGGTCTGCCGAAGTGGTGCGAACTGGCTGAGTCCCACCACTGTTTAAATGGAAAATACAAATGATAAACAGAGAGAGTGACCTGGCTTATTTTTTTTTTCCTATTGAATTTACAAAAGAAACTTGAAAAACTGTGTGCAATGTGACAAAGAAGAAATGAAATCAAACCCTTCCACAATATTTGAAGATGAAGACTGTTAAAAGTAAAAGGTAGGAAGGTAAAGTTGGTTTATCAAGTTTAAAACAGGGTTACTTCCGGCAATCCAAACTTATAGGCAAATCCGCTTTATGGATTTCCCTATAGATAAAGCAGGCAATATAGAATAATTGTTTGTAACTTTAGAGAGGGTGAAGAATTACTACATTTGTATATATATATATATATATATATATATATATATTATATATATATATATATATATATAATATATATATATTATATATATATATATATATGTTTTCTGAGGTTTTCGCGCGGTATTTGTATATAGGTCTTTGGTTGTTTGGGTTTTCTCCCGCGTAAAATTGGAAGTGTCTTGGCAACGTTTCGACGAAGTCACATTCGTCATCTTCAGGCTGGTGTTTTTAGCTTCTTGCTTTGAGCAGCAATGTGTGGTTTTAGCTGTTTCTTCCTTTTAACTGCCAGTGAGGGTATGAACTGATTGGATGGGAGCTTGGCTGTGTTCTGATTGGGTGGAGGTGTGTTCTGAATGGTTAGGGGCTTGGCTGTGCTCTGATTGGCTGGGGGAGTGTTCTGTTTGGTTGTGCTCAGGTTAGTCTGAGTTGCAGAGGGGTTTAAGATTTTGGGGTTAGGGAGTCGTTTGTCAATAAGGGCGGGTTTCCAAATGGCTGGTAGGCGGGAGGTATCATCTCGCTTGTTCATGCTGTGTGGGCGTTTTTCTATCTCGATGGCTTCTCTGATTATTCTGTTATTAAAATGTTCACTTTTGGCAATGGTTCTGGTATTTTTAAAGTCAATTTCGTGTCCTGTGGCTTTAAGGTGTTGGACCAGGGAAGATGTTGGTTCCTCTTTTTTGACTGAGTTCTTATGTTCTTCAATGCGTGCACTTATTCTTCTGTTGGTTTGTCCGATGTATGTGGTGGGACAAGTGGTGCATGGGATTTCGTATACTCCTTGATTTTCTAATTCAATTTTATCTTTGGGGTTTCTAAGGATGGTGGATATTTTTCTGTTTGTGCAGAATGCTGTTTTGATGTTGTGTTTATGAAGGATCTTACTGATTCTGTCTGTGGTGCCTTTTATGTATGGGAGGAGGGCTTTGCCGTTCTCCAGCAGGATGACTGTAGAGTCCAAATGGATGGGTTCTATGACGGCCTTCCTGCCTGGCAGACTGGGTAAAAACTTCGGCCACACCCCTTCCTTTGGGCGTGACCCCAGTTTTGACTCAGTCTCGAAGCCTGGTACAAGTGCGAGAGGCAGCTCTCAGAAACAAACGAATTTAAACTCAAAAAAAAAAAAAAAAAAGGAATCCCCTCTTCTTCCCTTGACAAGAGAAACTTCCCGGCAGCGATTAGAACAGGATCGGCGGACTCGTGAGTGGGGCTAGCCGGGGAGGCTCGGAACGGGCCGGATCGCTCGCTTTCTTCCGGCCCGCCGAGCAGCTGTTCGGCGCGGGGGGGGGGTTTTTCACCGGGTTGCGCGTAGCCCTCCGGGCCCTCCCAACAGCTGAGCAGCCTGGCCGAGGGAGCTGAGCGCCACGGCGCGAAACAGCTGAGCCGCGCGGGAAGCGGCAAACCAGGTCGCCGCTCGGCTGCGATCAGCTGAGCGGCGCGATAAACAGCGCGGCAAGAGCAAAGCCGGCGCTGAATTCCCCTATACCCAGAGGAAAGGCGCAGCCCCTCATGACTAGAGGAGTCTTCCTGATTGCAAAAATCAGGATCCGCCATTACTCTTGAACCTCGTGGATTCCCGGGCTTCCATTGGGAGGCGTGGCTTCTTCCCCATTCACCATTTTGGAACTTGATCTTCCCGCCGTTTCCCCTTGGGGGCGGGGCCTTCACCCGGACTCCATTTTCCGGCAAACAAAGGGCTTTTTCCCTTGCAAGGATCTGAGGTTACCCAAGGAAACTGAGACAGAGGAAGGAAGAGGGAAAGTAAAATAACCGTTTCCTATCGTGGTCTGTTGCCACAGCCACAGACTGGGGGAGAGAGAGAGACATATGAACTGCACCTTGTCTGGACTAGGTGAGGAGGTGAGGAGGAACATTCTTCCCTAACTGTTCCCATAGTGGCCTTTAGTCACTGCCTTGCAGGATCTTCGGTCCAAAGAATCCTGTCTGTCCGGCCATTGTTTGTATAGGCAGAGGAGGGCACAGTCCCAAGCATCTGCCTCTGATCTGCGTACCTCATTCCCCCATCCCAGGCATTTCCTACTCGGGGTGTCTGGCGCAATGGCAGACAATGTCTCGTATTCAGTCACACAGGTCCCTCAATTGTCCCCCCCACAACAGCAGCGAAAACGCAGATCCTCTGAATCAGAGGTGGGGGGGAAGAAGAAAGCTAAAACAAAGCACCTTACTCAGAAGGGACAGTCTAAAACGGCTGAGCGAGAGGCTCTGAGGAGACATTTGGCTTTAGAAAGACAAATTAGCAGGGCACAGAGATCCAATGCCAATGGGACAAATTTGGTTTCCCCTGTCCCAGTGGCGACCAGCACAGAACCTACTGCCGAGGAAGTGCTCAAGACTTGGTCTCCTCCTGGGGAAACTGAACAGTTAGATTCCTCCAATCCCTCCTCACCAGCTTCTTCTCCCTCACCCGACCACACTCCAGCGCCTCACCCCAGCGACAAAGCGCAGGAGAACATATGGTCGGCACGATTTCAGGCATTCATGCAGGATGCATTCTCCCAATTCATGGCCTCCAAAGGGCAAGTGGCCTTTCACACACCCCGTAAGGGACGAGCTAGGCCACCCCCTACCAACATCTCTGAATCTTCCTCTCAACTAGGAGAGGGTGACTCAGTAGATCTTGACATGTCAGACATGCCCCTATCGGAGGACGAGGAAACCGCACCTGAGCAGGAGACGAGCTCTGGCCTCTTTAACCCAGCGCTCCTAAAATCACTCCTGATTAAGGCAGTTTCCACAGTCAGCCTAACATCAGTACAGGATGAGAGGCCATCGACTAGCAAGGAGGCCAACCCTCTGTTTGCCAAAAAGGTCCCACAGGACAAGTACATTCCATGTGCGGAGGTCTTCATGACCACGCTGGAGGAACAATGGTCCTCACTTGCAAGCCCACCGGCACCTAACAGCGCGGAAAGAAAGCTTTTCAACCTATCTCCCTCCTTCTCTAACATGTTAGAGGTTCCCACTGTAGATAACCCCTTGATCTCATTATTCTCTACCTCCGCGATTCCAGGAGACATGGCGGAGGTCTTGAAACCTGAGGAGAAGAAATTTGAACACTCCTTCAGGCGTTCCCACATGGCTGCAGCCTGGGCGGCCAGAGCAGCCACCTCATCATCATTCTTCGCGAGGGCCTGCATCATGTGGCTGAGGGAACTGCAGGGCACGGTGCCTCCAGACCAGGTCAGAGTACACCAGACATTGGCCAAACTCCTCGCGGCCTCTCAGTTCATGTCTGACGCTTCACTGTACGCAACAAAGTATGCGGCAAGATCCATTGCGGCCACAGTGGCCTCGCGTAGGCTACTGTGGCTCAAAAACTGGAAGACAGACCTGAGGTCCAAATGGCGTCTCTCGACGTCCAAATACAGTGGAGAGGCCCTATTTGGTTCCATTCTGGATCCACATGTCAGCGAAGGCAGAGACAAGAAAAAAATCCTAGTACATCCATCAAAGAAGTTAGACAGGAGAGGCAGTCAGGACTTCCGGAGGCAGGGCTCCCGCCCAGGAAGCCCCTGGGAATGGAGGCAGCCCTTTCGATCAGGGCAATCCTGGGACTGGCCCAGAGGCTCACGATCCTTCTACCCGAGACAGGATCGAACCCAGGATCGCCAAAGCCCGGGAGCCAGGGGCCAGTTCCAGTCCAGACGCCCATATAGAGGAGCGGGAGGCAGATCCTTTAAGCGTACCAAGTGACGCCAAACAGGATACACCCATCGGGGGTCGGTTAGGAAATTTCACCGAGGTCTGGGAACAGACCACTACCGACGCCTGGGTCCTGGAAACGATCAGGCATGGCCTGACCTTAGACTTCTGTTCTCCCCCTCCAAACCGGTTCATCAGATGTCCCATCTCCAGAAGAGCACACAAGACAAGGCTGATAACTTCGGCCATAGATCACCTCCTGTCAATTCAAGCAATAGAGAAGGTACCAAAGGAAGAGGAAGGAAGAGGATTTTATTCTATCCTCTTCGTTATCCCAAAGACATCAGGAGGGTGGAGAGCAATCTTGGACCTGAAGGGCCTGAACTATTTCATAAAGTACAGGAGGTTCAAGATGCACTCCTTAAAGTCCATACTAGCCAGCGTCAGGGAAGACGATCTACTATCCTCAATAGATCTCACAGAGGCGTACCTACACATCCCCATCCACCCCAGCTACCGGAAATTCCTCAGATTTACCTACGCGGGGCGACATTACCAATACAGGGCATTACCCTTCGGACTGTCGTCAGCACCAAGGGTATTCACAAAGATCTTAGCTGTACTAGCGGCCCATCTCAGGTTGATTCCGGTTCGCGTCCAGTTTTATCTGGACGACATCTTGATTCAGTCCAGATCTCGGGAACAAGCAAGGACAGACCTCAAGACCACAATCCGAACCCTACAGGGGCACGGATTCTCGGTCAATCTAAACAAGAGCCACCTCATTCCCTCAAGGAGACTGCAACACCTGGGCGCGGTGATAGACACGTCACAGTGCAGGGTATTCCTTTCCCAGGAGCGACTGATCAACATATCCAAGCTAATCCACCAAATTCAAGAGATCAGGAGAGTGCCCTTGCTACAACTCTCGAAGCTCCTGGGAAAGATGATATCTTGCATGGGCATCATCCCATGGGCAAGGCTCCACTCGAGGGAGTTGCAGTGGTTCCTCCTACCCTACCAGAGGAGGAACCTCAGCACCTCCAACAGGAGTGTGCTGGTACCAGCACAGGTGATGAAATCACTAAAATGGTGGCTATCCCCCATGACACTCAAGGGGAGCATATTCAGGGAACCGAACAGGGTCACGCTCACGACAGATGCGAGCCTGTTCGGATGGGGAGCCCATCTGGGGACCCAGATAGCACAGGGCCAGTGGGGTCAAAAGGACCTGTCACACAGCATCAACTGGCTAGAGCTCCGGGCCATACACCTGGCCCTCCGTCATTTCTCACACCTAGTAACGAGGAGACACGTCCTCGTGCTTACAGACAATGTAGCA